CAGTACGAGACCTGTACATTGTCATCTATGGGGAATTTAATTGCAGTACGAGACCTGTACATTGTCATCTATGGGGAGTTTAATTGCAATACTAAACCTGTATATTGTCATCTATAGAGAGTTTAATTGTAGTATGAGTCCCTTAGATTGTCGTTTATGGGGAGTTTAATTGCAGTACGAGACCTGTACATTGTCATCTATGGGGAGTTTAATTGCAGTACGAGACCTGTACATTGTCATCTATGGGGAATTTAATTGCAGTACGAGACCTGTACATTGTCATCTATGGGAGTTTAATTGCAGTACTAAACCTGTATATTGTCATCTATAGAGAGTTTAATTGTAGTATGAGTCCCTTAGATTGTCGTTTATGGGGAGTTTAATTGCAGTACGAGACCTGTACATTGTCATCTATGGGGAGTTTAATTGCAGTACGAGACCTGTACAGTGTCATCTATGGGGAGTTTAATTGTAGTACGAGACCTGTACATTGTCATCTATAGAGAGTTTAATTGTAGTACGAGACCTGTACATTGTCATCTATGAGAAGTTTAACTGCAGTACGAGACCTGTACATTGTCATCTATGGGGAGTTTAATTGCAGTACGAGACCTGTACATTGTCATCTATGGGGAGTTTAATTGAAGTACGAGACATTTACATTGTCATCTATGGGGAGTTTAATTGTAGTACGAGACCTGTTCATTGTCATCTATAGAGAGTTTAATTGTAGTATGAGTCCCTTAGATTGTCATCTATGGGAGTTTAATTGTAGTACGAAACATGTACATTGTCGTCTATGAGAAGTTTCATTGTACTAGTGTGAGACCTGTACACTGTCTTCTATAGGAAGTTCAATTGTAGTACGAGACCTGTACATTGTCATCTATGGGGAGTTTAATTGTAGTACGAGACATAGTCATTGTCTTCTATAGGAAGTTCAATTGTAGTATGACCTGTCAGTGTGTCTGCATCTTGTACCTTATATATCGGTTAAATTTCCACAGCTGACACATATTTTTGACAGATGTGTTTGTCGATAGGTACATGTGCGAATACCTGACCTGACTGAATGGGTCAATCTGTTTACATTCTGATGTATTGTACGGCGTGTATTTATTTTATTTTATATAGTTTATTTTATTTTAACTCATATATATGTTTTGTTATTTTTTAATTTATTATTGTTTTTTTTTATTACATATATTCAGAGGTACCTCTGATAATATCTTATTGCATCACGACCAAGTTGTAGGCTTTCGCAATTGCCTTAGTTTAAAAACCATAAACAAATATAGGCAATAAAAAAGCCCATATAAACATATTATTTTAATCAGATTATAAAAACAACTAAAGTAAGCGACATTGCATGATAAGAAATCACGTAATAAATGTCGCGTGATTTTCTATGACCAATCGCTGTCAACTTATAAATATTGAATGAAGTCATCTCACTACCCTATAACTTCATTAATATCACTACGCGCGAACGAAGAACGTAGCAATCATGATTTTCAGTATCATTATGGCTGGTAGCATGCTCATCTAGAACAATATCCCGTATTTCATTAAATTGAATACTAACAAACTGTATTTTTTCAGCAATGAGTTGGAATTAAAACTGAGCTATGTTTGATTCGCGGATGTCGAAAGGTCACGGATCTGTTACTCGGTTACCATTCGACTTTGGTACACGGGTCGTGTTTACATAATCAGCTGTTCCACTACATCGTATTTCCCACACCAGTGAGTTAATATTGTTACCATGGATCGAGCGCAAGACACAGTCGATGTTGTTATGTGGCGTCCCGACTCAAGAAAAAAGACAAAAATTGAAGAATTCCGACAGAAAGTCAACTGTGAACACCACCTGAATTTGGGTGAGTAAAGTTCGAATCAGGGCATCGTCAGCAGCGCACTTCGATCGGAACATTCACTGGGTGTGTACCTTCGATATAGCTATTGTTTAGTCTTCTATTGGCCACGTTTGCATTTGTAGAAATGATGTTCTAAATACTGCTAATAATTAAATCAGCAAAGTGTGAATGTCAAGTTTAGGTCTGAATGCATCACACCCTAGCCCTGTTTATTTGTACAGGGTTATGGACGCCCTAAATTTTCAAATTCAAACAAACCAAAAAGCGTTTATTCGCGTTATTTGGTTGGGTTGGTCCATAAAAATCATTTGTTGAGGTATCGTCATTCAGTTTGATTAGTGTCATAACTTAGCAACGATGTCTGAAGTTGTAAACTTCCACGATTGCTCGCGCCACATTCTGCCTCAGCCCAGTAGCCAATCAAAATGCATTTCTTGTCAGCACACCCCTGACACGCCTTTTTAATATTTTGCATACTCTGGTGATTCTAGCCAAGTCATACTATTTTAAATCCAAGGATATAACAAATATTAATTTTGAAGATTTTAAATCGAAACTGGTAAATGGAATCGTTTGATAACATCAGTGAAAACGTCACACCAAATACTCATAATATAACATGCTTCCAGAAATTGTAAAAGCCAATAACAATAAGATCACTTACTTTTCGTCATCGGAAATTCTATATCTGCATGTAACTACCCCCAAATAATGATGTTTTTAATATAATATAATAATCAAAACATATTTGTGAAGCGATCATAATAATAATATTACACGACTGAAACATCTGTGGTTGTATGGTTAATGGAATAACAAACATTTTGTATAAATAACTAACTGAAAGCAATTGTTGATATTGATACTATTTATGTTATCTTGCGTAGAATCGATTTTTCATCCAGTAAGATTCTGTTATTATGATACAAATTGTATCATCTGTGTGTCTGGTGTTAAAGTCTGTCTTCTAACGATGGAATGCAATTTTGTACAGTAATGACACAATGCAATGGCCAAATATGGGCAGTGACATGGTGTACTTGTAATATTGTAATAATTAACACAAGAGAGTCGTCATCTGCGCATGCGACAGACAGTTATAGCCTGTTGTTGTTTACAAATAAGCATCTACCCATGAGCCTTTGCATTTTTAGCGAGCATTGTTATTGTCACTTAGGACCCCCTCTGCTTTAATACACGCTATAATAAGTATATTGCACTTTTATATTTTGTTCATAACCGAACAACGATAAACCATTTATTTTTGCATGATACCTTACTTGCTGTAATTTGCTTATGGCGGTGCCGATGCCTACCGTAGTTACCTGACATGAATTATTGCCGTCAGCTGGGACCATAACATACTGGCACCGTCTGCTATGGTTATGCAAATTATTATAAATCTCTACTACAAACTGACATGCACAATACCATATGCATTTTTATTTACACTGTAACATTGTTCCTAAAGTAAAAATATAATTAATCCCTTGAGCTTCCACTCACCTACTTGTCAGTCAATAACGGCAAATTTATTTTAGATTTTGCTACTACAAATTACATCACTTTTCAAAAATAATGTCATGTACACACGTAAATGTAAATTAGACTGTATACACCAAGAAAACATATTAAATAAATGTTTTCTACATGAATCTGAAAAATATTGTGATCTCTCATATTGTTATCTTTACATCATAAGTGACAAAAAAAAAAATAGTAAACAAGTATTATCCACTGTAGCTAAAACTATTTTACCCTAGGTGGAAGCCCAGACACTTTGACACAAGATGTACCAGAACCTGCATAATATGTTCTATATTTTGTCACTAATTTTGATTGAAACATAGCCAATCAGATTCACAAAAAGAATTAAATAACAATACATAATAAAAGTAATGCACCGACATTTTGGTTGTAAAATGATGGGTTAAATATGTTCTAATTGAAAATATAGCCAGAACTATTTTATTATTTTATTTTTTATTTTTATCACAATGCATATTATGAAAATAAAAATGGAGGAAGTGCGTTATATTCACACAAAATCTGTCATTGTTATTTTTAGAGAACTATGCTGAACTATGGCAGTGGTCGGTTAACCATTATGATGACTTTTGGGAAGCTGTCTGGAAATTCACTGACATTGTTTATTCTGAACCTTATGAGAAGGTGAGTACCGGTTTATGAAATGGACACTGGATGATGTCATTGGTGGAACCCCATTCACAGTGTCTGCACCAGGTCACATTATCCTACACAAAATGTTTGTTTTAACCGTAGACCTTCTATGTTTTAACTATAAAGACAATAGTCATTACTATTATTATCATCAAGACCATCGTGGTTGTCCAAAACAAAAGGATTTGGTGTAGCTTTGGTTTAATTAGCGTACATACTTGTTTAAACGCTGTAACTAGATAGAATGGGGTTCCGTAAGCATGTGCATAATGGTGAACTACTTGCAGAATGGACTTGTCAGCATTCAAGGATGGAAGGATGACATAGATGTCAGGTATACATGTACACTCATGCTATTTTCTGTTCTATATAAATTACGTGAATGATTACAAGTGGATGCCAGCAACAACATATTAATTGTCAGTGTTTGGAGATGAGCTGTTACAACACCTTTGGCCAGAATGATTTTTGAATGACACGTGTGAAAAAGTGAATTGGTTTCTGTTTTCGAATGTCATGCCATAATTGTCAGCTGGTAGCGTGGAACTATTGCTTCATGATTGTACATAATAACCCAATAAACATGTCATTCAATTTTTGACCAACTTTAGGAGTAGATTTCTGTGTTCTTAAACATTCTCAAAACAAAACTTTTGGTGATCTACTGCTTTATTACATTGATATTCTTTCCTACATGCATACATGTACATACAGCATGGATGTTTTTTTTTTTCAAGATTGAAAAGGTTTCATTTTTGGCAAAATCAATAGAAAGGCAACCTTTGCTTGTACTGAAAATAGTTGAGTTTGAGTCATTAACGCTGTGGTTTATTTTATCAGGTTGTCGATACTAATATAAACATAAGCGATATTCCAGAATGGTTTGCTGGAAGTCAGTTGAATTACGCTGAGAATATGCTGCGATATGACGACAACAAGGTTGCAATCTATGCAGCTGGTAAGTTCAATCTTAAATAATGATACTAATTCTTGTTCTCTGGCACAGTAGATTTGAAAAATTATGTTCTTGGGCACTCATTTCAAATTTAGAATCATCAAGTTCATGTACATTCAGTTTAATTAAATAAATATAATTATCAGCTAATTCATGTTCTAGGGCATTTATTTAAATACTTCTAGATAGAAATGTATGTTCTGGGGCAGTCAGTTTACTATTTAATACAGAAATGCATGTTCTGGGGCAGTCAGTTTACTATTTAATGCAGAAATGCATGTTCTGGAGTATTTATGTTTTAGGGCAATCAGTTTAATGTTAATATAAAAATGCAATTTCTTATTACATTTACTTTAATATTTATTAGAAAATTCATGTTTTAGAGCAATCAGTATGATGTGTAAAATACAACTGCAATCAACCAATCACATATATGGTCAATAGCTGACCATGATTGTGTTTTATTGTGGACTAGATAATCCATGGTACATGGTTCAATGTTTTGTTTACTTCATTGCAGCTGAAGGAAAGGAGGAAGTTGAAAAGTTGACATTCCATGAGCTGCGGCAAACGGTGGCGCAGTATGCTGCAGCTCTTAAAAAGATTGGTGTGAAAAAAGGAGACAGAGTTGTTGGTAAGAAAAGAATAAATAAAAAGATTCCCAAATAAATAACAATTTTAAAACACTACAAATTCTTGCTATTTTATTCAACGGAAGATTTCCATGCCAACAATGATTTTATAATAATGATATGTTGTCAAGTGAGGTAGTCATTTTGAAATGGAATGGGTCAAAGTTCATACTGTGTTACAGGTTCATAGCTCGTAAATTAGTTTTGATATCCCACATGGTCTCTTAAAATTTTCAAACATTTAGTTATGGGAAATAATTCTTGTGTTCAACATCTTTAATTTCCTATAATAATGTACATTATTTTCGCAGGGTACATTCCAAACTGTGTTGTTGCAGCCGTTGCTGTCATAGCAACAGCAAGTATTGGTGCAATATGGAGTTCTACTTCCCCTGACTTTGGAGTTTCGGTATGTGCAGTTGGTGATAGCACCAGTATATGACCATAAATAACTATCATATATTACTGAAAACTAGTTACATATTGAAGTGAAGTGATTTCCCTACCTCTTCCTAACTTAGAAATTACACAGTGTACATTTTGGATAACGATCGAATAGAAAGTTTGCTCTTTTATTGATACATGATACTTTGATATAACAATTCAATTTGACGAAATTTTTAACTCAACATATACAGCTCAGACAGATAAAAAAGAATACTGTTATTCTGTTCTCAAGATATTGGGCTTTTAAATTAGACTAAGTAACAAAATAAGGATTATGGTCATTTTGAATTACAGATTTGATAAAGGCAGCCATATTATGACATCACAGTTTATTTGCGAATTTAGATTGTTTTATATTAATTAATCAGAAATATATCAAATTTCAAAAATTTAACAATGTATACAAGTTTCAGTATATAAATTATAAATTAGTCATGTCAACAGCCTTGAATATAGTATTTTTTTTAAGTAACTCTTGTTATGTTTATCAGATATTGTACAAATGAAAAATTGTTTTAGAAATTGTTATCTGACCCAGACAATTTTAGAATCATGACCAATACTAGTATATATTCCATTGGGTGCATGCAGTTAGCGATAACTATCATTCTAAAAAACTCAAGGCTTGTCATGGATTGATGCCATAGATAGCATACATCTACGTAACAATGTACACAGTATGATGGGTAAATGCCATGATTGCCTGTAATAACAACGTATGTACAGGTTAATAGTGAAGGCGACTGTCTGCCTACATGTTGGTGTTGTCGTCAACATTTTCTTGTGGTCATGATTAATTTATATTTTGTTGATTTCCTTTTCAGGGTGTCTTGGATCGGTTTACACAAATCAAACCAAAAGTAATATTTTCTGTTGATGGCGTTGTGTATAATGGTAAATCTCACAATCATTTAGACAAATTGAAACAAGTTGTTCAAGGACTTCCTGATCTAGAGAAAGCTGTTGTTATACCCTATGTTAATAAAAAGAATAACTTAGATATATCGATATTTCAAAAAGGTAGGTCTAAAACAAATGCCAATTGTTTTAAACCTACACACTAATCTTGAATTTTATGTTATTTTGTTTATGGCAGTGACGATGGTTTTTTTGAGTTTGATTGTGAGTTGGAAAATGAAATGATATTTTTGTCCAAACAAATTTGTAATAAATGTGCATAAACGAACACCAATTACAATATTAGAATATTATTGAAATTATAATATAGAATAACTCAAATCCATATGGTCATAACAATCATGACTCAACTCTTACATATTTGATTACACTTATCAGTCGTCAGAACAAATTGTGCCAAAGCAGTTCGAATAACAAATAAAATTCAACAATACATATTTGGTCAGTCATTATATGTTTATCTCTCTTGTATTCCCAGTGTTTTCCTGGATGATTTCTTAGACAGCGGTTTGACAGAAGATGGACAGGTGCCTCCGTTGGAATTTCTGCAGTTGCCTTTCAATCATCCTCTATATATCATGTATTCCTCAGGCACCACTGGACCCCCTAAGTGCATGGTACATTCTGCTGGGGTGAGTGACATATTAATAATGTCTTTCTCTGGTACATGTGCCACTGGACCCCATAACACATGGTCCATTCTGTTGGGGGTGAATGAAATATTAATGTATTCCTCAGGCACCACTGGACCCCCTAAGTGCATGGTACATTCTGCTGGGGTGAGTGACATATTAATAATGTCTTTCTCTGGTACATGTGCCACTGGACCCCCTAACACATGGTCCATTCTGTTGGGGGTGAATGAAATATTAATGTTTCCTCAGGCACCACTGGACCCCCTAAGTGCATGGTACATTCTGCTGGAGTGAGTGAAATACTAATGTATTTCTCTGGTACCACTGAACCCTCTAAGTGCATTCTGCTGGGGTAAATAATATTGTAAAATGCTTTATTTTAGCTGGAATTAATTTTCGCTGAAAAGACTCTTTTGGGTGTTTTGTATGGAGTTTAATTTTCACTGATTTCTGACGTGTTGAATTGAGTTGAAAATATGTGAAAAAAAGGTATATTTGCTGGATTTTATTTTCACTGAATAGCGAAAATAGCAAAAATAAAGTATTTAACAGTAAATAAATGTGTTTTCCTGGTACCACTGGACACGATAAGTACAGTAAATTCAACAAGAGTGAGTGAAATATGAATTCCGCTGGCATTGCTGGACCCCCTAAGTACATTTACATTCCACTATGTTGAGTGAAATATTGTGTTTTCCTTTGGCACCACTGACACGATTATTGCTGAAATTAAATCATTTTCTATTTGTATTTGCAGGGTACACTTATAAAACATCTAGAGGAGCATGTGTTGCAAGGTTGTATGACGAGGGATGATATTCTCATGTATTATACTACAGTAAGTGTAACAAATATATATCATGATACCAATCACTTTTAGCCTACCGTACTCGTGATCATCTAATTTCTGATTGGATCAATCTATGCTTTTGATTAGAGTTCTTCAGG